GCATATGAAACTGGTGGGGTTCGGTACCTCTAACAAGGTTAAGAACCACTGCGCTAAGGGCCGCCCTGTTACAAGGCACAACTAGTCGACAGCTCACTATTACTGATATGCAAACACCAGGAGACTGGATATTAAAAAACATTTTTCAAAGTGGATTGGCTTCACTGTCTTTACAAAAACAACAGGAAATTCAGTCTCTGTTAAAAAGTGCATTACATAAACGGTTAAACTCCATCAGGCCGTGTTGTGGAAGGAAAGGTTTCGGCAATAGAGAAATCGCACAGGACACTTCTCTGTGATTGTCTTATACTTGTTAGGAAAACCCAACCCGACGCAAGTGAACTACAGCTTTAAAACACAGAGTGGATAAGTTCTGGCATGGACCTCTAACCCTGAATTTGTTTGCCTAAAAAAAAAAAAAAAAGTAGTTTCTAGTGTTGGAGGATAAAAGTCCTCAGCCCTCTCAGATATGTAACCTCCCTGAATGAACAGCCATGTCCTCTAGAGTGATCTCTTCCTCTGGGAAGAGCAGAGGAGGCTGAACGATCCCTGAAAATTTTCTGAACTGACATATTTAATTTTAAAAGAAGAAGAAGGAATGTAAACATCACGATGCAGACCTGTCACAGTCAGTAATACAAAGTCCTCGGTAACAGTCTCGGTAGAGGGAGGCCGTGCATCATGTTGTCAGTAATGATAGACTCTGATCTGATTGTTGTCATCCAGGCCCAGCTGGACCAGCCCACTCTTTGAGGAGGGAGCCTGATAGCGGGTGAACAGCGGTCTGAAGGGTGGAGTTAAAGATGGCAGGTACAACTCAAGGTGAACTTTAGACTAGAGATGTTTGCAAAGTGAAAATTTTAAAAAGGACGTTATATGAAATAAAGGAGAACTAGAGGATGGACCGTGTGTTAGAGTGATGGAAGGATACATGCTGGTGTCTTTCTTGCGCATTTCCAGCCACCTCTTGTTGCCGTCTATCAGTCGCTGCAGCCTTTGGCCGTCCATCTCAGCTGATCTCGGTGTGGAGTGAAGCCCTCGGCTGTGTTCACTGAGACACACACAGGAGTTACCGTAAGTACACTTAAAACAGCGTTTGTGTGGAATCTGCTACACAGGCTTGATTAAAGGCGTATTGTAGGTTGCAGTACTTCAGAGGAGTATATGATGAGTAAGCCGTGGAGGGTCTTGTTGTGCTGGAACCAAGCGGGGCAACAGCTGCTCCTGGACAAGAGAACAATGACACAATTTGTACAACTTTGTTTTGTTTATTTCCCCCAACGAGTGCTGTTGTTGGTGCACCACTAATCCAACAACATACCAGGGAATATCTGGCTCCAGCGGCTGTTGAGGGTGTCCCTGGATGCCCTCAGCTCACTGCTGATGGGCGTGCTGAAGAGTGGGGAGGCTGCAGAGCGGCTCTGAGTCGGCCAGCTCCACGGTGGCTCTGAGGGCCTCTCCAGAGGAGGAGGCGGGGCTAAGGAGCTGGTTCCCAGGTTGTACGTCTGACCACTGATAGGAGCTGATGAGGAGGAGGTAGGAGCTAGAGTGGAGTGAGGATGAGACAGAGGTGGAGGGAAAGCTGCGTAAGGTGTGGTGCTCTGCTGCTGGGTCAGCGAACCCAAGGCACCCAGGACGGTGTTGAGCTGGCCTGAGATCTGCTGCAGTGACTCTGCTAATTCCTGGACTTTGGCTGGAACGGTGGGAATATAACCTGAAGAGAGAGGGAGGAGGAGAGTGTAGATTAGCAGAGGTAAGAAAAAATACAACACGTGAGTTCTTCAAACTGTTAGGAGCGGCTCTCTGGGGACGCACTAGAGCCAAAATGATTGTCTATTAACAGCTGATTTGTAAAGTTTATATACAGAAACATTGGCTCTGACACACAAATCAAAGGGCCACTAATAGTCCCCAATCATAAATCAAAGTATGGTATAGGTTACCTTAGATCTGCTAATTCAGTATACTTTGAAAGGGGCTTTACTCTCAGCCCATAGCTACAGGGCTGGAGCCAGATATTCCCTGGTTACTTCCATCCATCTTCTTTTGCTTAGCAAGGGCTTGTTTGTGGGGGCAGCAGCTAAAGTACAGCTGTAGGAGTCCAGGAGGAATCCCAGTCAGATGCCCAAACCAGAAGCAAGAAAAATAAAGCGCATTGACAAAATCTGTCTTTTTACACCTTTGCAGGGTGCGTTGTTGATAACTTTGACTTTATTGAGGCTGTGTAACACTGACACATATTCCAGGAGCACTGACACTCAGTCTGAACACTCACTGTTAAAGGCGAATGCTGAACCCCAAGCGGTGATCAGGCAGAGCCCACATGTTGGATTTAGACTGAAATTTGAAAATCCTGTTCATTGTCTGGGGAGCGTGCTGGCGAGCATGCATTACCTGCCCCATATGGCGCTTCCACGGTGCTGCTGAAGTCTGACTCACTCACATCAAAGGTTACCTTCCTTCCTCCGGCGAGCCGAGACAAATCCTCAAACAGCGGCTACGTGGAAAAAGCACCAGGGCGTTACAGTCATCACGACATTCCATTAAAAGTGTGAATTCCCTTCTGCTACACCTTAAATC